GGCATTTAACGAGCTATCGCGTTCTCCGATGATGCCATCAATGCGCATTAAAATCAAACAATCAGACAAGCGACCAACAAAAGGGCCAGCCGAAGACAGCCAATGGTGGCGAGAATTGAGTCAGTGGGTCAGTTGACCAAGTGGAGCTGGCAGCAAATGAGTCTAGTTTAATACCCACATTAACTGTGCTGGTCGAAAAATGCAATTTGAATGCGGTTTGATGGTCATTTGTGATGGAACTATCAGAGAACTAGCACCATAAAATAATTACTAAATAGAGAATATCAATTAAACTATTTCGCAGATGATAAAAGAACCAGCAATAGGTTTACAGCTTTGGAAATATAAAATTGCTGCTGGGTTTGAACCAGCGAACTGCCGCCTGTTAGTTCAGCGCAGAGAAAATCAAGTCAGGCTGGCTTGTGCCAGATATTAAAACAGATTTTCCAACCAAATGGTAGCTAAATATATTTTGTTGTAGGCTAAACTCCTAAACTAACATGTAAATAAATGTAATTTTCAACCATTTGTGAAGTACTCACCACAACCAAGTCGCTGTCCCGTCCGGTGGCCACAGTGGCTCCAAGCCATTGATATGACTTGCGATCGATGACCTCGCCCATTGTATTCCGATTGTTACCTGGTTGGGGAAGACGAGCAATTAGATAAATGCATATGTATATTTTGTGGATCGCATAAACATTAAATAAATGTGTGCTTTAAATTTCTAAGAGCAACCGAAAGTGGAAAAAAATAGCGACGGAAACGAAAAATTTGCTGAAATTAATACAGATGTCTTTTAAAGTGGGACCAGAGGCGAGCGGTGCAGGGGCCCAAGAAAAGAAAACGAAAACAATATCAAAAAAAAAAAAAGAAAACAAAAGCAAACTAATTAAGTTGCTCTAAACAAGGCACTTGGCAAATAACGGCATAATGGCCACTTCCGTTAATGTTTGGCAATGATTTATTACGGTACAACATTCTGAGGGCCTCAATATCACTGAGGGTTGTGCTGTTATTGTAAGAAACTACCGTTTGGTGCTCGGCTCTATACCGAATAACGTTGCTCATGGGGTGCGTAACTGTACACGTTGGTCGCTGATTGAAGTGCTTACATAGTTTGATTGAATGATGTATGCATAAATGATTGAGAAGATGTGTGTGTGCGAGACTGGGAATGATTGTGGAATAATATGTATGTATGCGAGACTGGGGTTCAAGTAAGCGCTGATGATTGAATGTGTTTTCAAAATAATGATTGACAACAATTGATTGATTGATAATCATCAATTTAATAACTTTTCACGATGCACACATATTTGGTAATAATTGAACAAGATTCAACATAAAATAATATACGAATGCTTCCTATAATAACGATGCTATAACAAAGCTATTGACTATTTATATTATAAACAGCATAGAATATGGATATAGCTGACATTTGAAATACCTTCCATAACATCCAATCTCGAGCCTGGTATTTGTGGCAAGATCTTATATATAGCTAGATATGTTTATCTCAAAAAGCTCGAGTGCCATTTGCTGGAGTCAAATCAAAAAACTGAGACAGTATTTTATTGAGAAACCTACTATTCCACCAATTATATGGCAATTACTTATATAATATACTGATATAGACGGACCTATGCAAAGCTTCAAGATGATAGTCTTAAGACTGAGAGAATAGTTTGCATAGACGCTGATAAGAATTGCTAGACTATAGCACATCAGATACTAATAAAAGAATTTAAAAAAAATAAATAAAAATAGTTAGGGGAACAGAGATGTCCCTTGACTTGTCCCTATAAAACCCTCTGCAAGGGCATAATGATGCTTCCGACAATTAAATTGGAATTGAAGGATGAAACTCAAAACAGATGCTGTCAAGAATTTGCAGAGTATATAATATACATATAATGATTGTGCTACTTGAAAAGCCGAAAACAAATTGTTTTCAATTTGTGATAAGTGCGAATTTAAGCAGAAATATTTTGTTAAATATATATTTATGCGCGAAATTTGTTCGAGTTGATGAATATATTTACATATGCATATACAGATGAGTAATCTTGTTATTTTTGCCATGAATCAGATACATTTCGTTTGAATATTTTGTTGACTAATTATAGCTAGTTCATGAATGAACAAACCAACCTGCGAGCTGAATGAAGCACCTGTTGACTCCTTTTTGCATTTTTTCGTGTTTTTTTTTTTCGATATTTTTTTTGTTTATATATTTGTTTTGTAAGCAAGCATACGATATAAAAGTAAGGTACGAGCATTAACACATTTGTTTGATAAAGGCTTGACGCTTTGCTTGAGCGTAGCATTACGAAGCTAACCCGCACTTGGCCAGACCAATTTATGCATCTCACGCTGGGCTAGCCCATCCGCGCCAGTCCCCAGATTCCTTCAGATCATAATTTTATTTTTGAGCTGTTAGCAGCAACATGAAATTGCATTTAAAGACTGCTGGCTCAGCTGATCCGTGAATTGTCAGGTAACTACAGGTATCAGCTACCAATATACCCATCTACAGTGCAGCTTAGCCCTAACGAAAGTCTCTGTGAGAAAAGTTTGCTCAGTTTACAAGCTCTAAATTTGACCTAAGCAAAACACTTTGAAGTCTACAGTTAAACCTCCATGTAACGAACGGCCTAAACAAGTTGCTCAACCAGGACTTTCTTTAATTTTATTATTTTGTTTATATTTCTTGCTTAATCGATTCCCGCATAAATTGATATCAAAACTATGCAAGTTTGCCGTTCTGTATTTCCCTTAGATTGTTGATCTATTCAAAGTATCTTTTTATGTATTTGAGTTATAAATGCTCTCTGGCGAATCGATGCTGCTGAAGTTCGTTATGGAGAAGCTTGTCTGTTCTATCAACAGGCGCGCCAACACCACACCAAACTCCACATCGAGTGGACTGCATTGCACTCACATTGCCATCATCAACAGCCACATTCACATCCATATCCACGTCGTCGTCGTCATCGTCGACAAAGCGAATAATTTTTATTTGGGCATCCGTTGCTGCCAAATGCGGCTGAGCTTGTGGGTGGGTGGTGCGCGGCGGGGGCTGAAGTGACGGGTGGACGGGCGGACGGTAGGAGAAGCAAGTGCGGGGTGGACCTTGAAAATGGGCGTCTCTGTTTATTTTAGAGGCCGCCTGTTTATCATTTCCGTTTGCGCTTAAGGAAATGCATGCCCGGTGAAATGGCAAACTTCTAAAAATAATAATAAACTGCAGCCGTGCGCGATTGTTGCAGTTTATTTTTCCTCTTCTTTTCTTTTGTATTTTCTTATTTTTGCTGTTTAGCATTTTCGCATTCTCGCATTTTGCATACTAAAAACGCTGCGCATGCGTGTGAGCCATAAATAACTAATTGCATTTGGCGCTGTTGTCGCTGGCGCCAATACAAAGAGAGACTGCGACTGAAAGACTGAAAGACTAGGTGACTGGCAGACTGGGAGACACGGAGACTGGGAGACTGGGAGACTCGGGGACAGGTGCGGGAAATAGAGACTGCAAACATGGCTTCGGCTCTGAGCTGGCGCCGGGACCAGACCCAGGCCCAGTCCCAGTCCCAAGCCCAACTGTCTGACTGACTGGACGGGCAATCTCTTCTTCACGCCCAAATCAAATGCTTAAGGTTGACTTATGCCATCAACTACTTACCTTTGGAATCGAATGTTACCAACTGGCAGTCATCATCGTTCATCGTGCATTTGAATACGGCGCCAGCCTCCACCACGCGCTCCTGATACGTGGATGTATCGAACTTGGGTGCGCCCACAACCAAACTGCAAATAAAAATGTATAAATTATTAAGTTAATGCATGTAAATGGTTGCCAATTAACATTAGCTGCATTCTCCCAAATGCAAATACCTTGAATAAACAGCAGCAATATCTCGAGTTCGCAAACTATCGAGTATTATCAACAACAATATAAATCATATGTTGATTGTGTTTTTCTTTTTTACCAATTTTTCTTAATTCTTTTCATAAATCAAAAACGCAAAACATTAATAATGTACATTAAATAAAGACAGCAGCTATTCTAAATAATATACCCATACAATCTTGAACTGCTTCGGTGCTTATAGTCCGAACGTTATGAAATTTGCAGGGCTTTAACAATTTTCTAGTTATTCCTACAGAAAAACTTGTCACAAAATTGATACTTTTGTACAAAAGTATTGTTATTTGTGAAAAGCTATCGTAAGAATATTAAAATTGCAGAAATGCAAGAATATATATATGTTTCTATTTGAGACTCAGTGCGATATAAAGATCAAAGCAACTGACCTATTGCAACAGTTGAGTACCTCATTCGGAACCCATTCGCAGACCTTATTCACTTTGCACTCACTTTGATTGAGAGCCACATTATTCATTCATCGAGTCTGCCGTTTTTATACTGCACGCATCTGTGCGGATTTTACTTTAGTCAAACGTCAAATTGTTGCATGTGGGCTGCCCTGGCATTGGCAGGGGCTGAGGCAGGGGCAGCGGCGGGGCTGTGACAGCAGCAGCAGGGCCGTTTTTAATCAACTCTCAAGTGTTTGATTTGCCTTTGCAGACCGCCAGTTGCCCATTGCTTATATTTATTTTCAGTTTTATTATTTTCAATTTTAATGAAGGCCCATTTACTGCACCCCAGCAGCCGGCACCGACCTGCCTTGCCCTGCTCTGCCCTGCCCCGGCCTGGTCACAGGCTCTTCAATGGGTTTCGCCGCGCTTCCGCAATGAATGCTAATGACAGCTGTCAATGTGCGTGCCATGATGTACTACTACATTTAACCGCTGCAAAGGGAGTACTCCTTCTCAGCGAGGGTGCCACACAACGCTTCTGATGACAATGGCCAATGCCGCATTGCCGCAACCACCTTTGCCACAATCAACCAATGACCGAGGGAGACGGCGACCTCGGCAACGGAGACGGACAGAGACGAAGACGAAGACCAGCATTATAAATTCGACTCAATTGATTCAGCATCTACATTCAACATTTAATTCAGTTAAATTTTCTGATTTTGTTAAAACAACTATCTATAATGAGTTTTAGCCAAACGGTTCAATATGAAAATATTATTATACAAAAGCACTCCACGTATTTTCCGAACGTGAAGGTGGATTTCGCAAAGCCTCGTCCTTAGGTATAAGGTAAGTGTTATGATTCGGGCTGTTTGTTGATCAGCAATCAATAAAACAGGTCAATTAGTAGCTTATACGCCGATTTACAGTATTTAAGACCTTTAAGAATTTTGATCTTTAATACGCTTTTAAAACTAAAGCGATTTACACGTTTGTAGCCTTACTTTTTTGAGGTATGCTGTCAATTGGATATTGGAAATAGCCTCGATCCAAGGTCCATTGAATGTTAATTCACCAAGTAGTATTTTAATTTTGGATCTTATCATGCAATCAAAATAAAAACCAACAGCGTTACGAGTACTATTTGCCTCTTTGTACGATCTGTTGTTGTAAAAAGCTGACATCATGGCAATCTATTGAATCACCATTTGATCATTCTTGTCGCATATAATTAATAGCGATTTATGGCACACAACGAGGCGCCAAGAGCGAACAGGTTTAATTAACTTCCCCCTACCCATTTTGCTCTTGCTGACCCAATCTAAATTTTAATTCCCTTTTCCATTTCGTTCCATGTATGAATGAATAGCTCAAAATTGACACCATATTGCATATAACTCGTAAATATGATTCATATTGAGTGCGTCATTTGAACGAAAGTTAGAATCGAAGTTCCAAAAATATATATGTGCGTGCTTATTAATTATACAAATAATTTTGGCCGATTCGAAATTTCATGCTTGCAATATTCAAACAGAATAAATAATGAATAATTCAACAGATGGTACAAAGCTAACTTGGATATGTAGCTGAATTCAGAAGAAAATAATAAGACCAACAAGTCTCATTTGACTGTTGCCTTTCTACGAGATTCTCATGATTATAACTTGTGTTTGTAGCTTATATATATTGTAGCATATATATGTATGCGTATATACCTAATTGGATCAGAGGGGCATTACACATTTTAAGCATTAACTATAAATATACATTATTAGTTATTATTAAAGCGTTGTAAAATATTGCAATACGAACGTTTATAGCTATAGGGGAACAGTTGGGGAACGTGGCTGGCGTAATTTTCGAATTGAGCCGCACGCGTCAGTGTTGTGTGTACATGTGTGTGTATGTGTGTGTTTGTGTGCAATGAACCAAAACCATAAACATACAAACACATGCATGCAAAAATCACACACACGGATGAATCCACAATGGGCCTTATAGAGCAGAGTGCACAAAAGTAATCAAAATCAATGCGCTTCAATTAAAAATGGGCAGCACAAAAAGAAAAAACTAAAAAAATATATATATATGTATATAAAGACAAACGAATAAAAAGCCGCACAATGCATTCCAAATTGAACAATTTTCCGCACACATGGCTGACCACATGCAATACATATATATTTAGGGGAAATTTAAGACGAAGCCATAAGGAAAACCAATTTAACTGGAACTGCAAAGGAACTGAGTGAAAGAGAGGGAGAGCGAAGAGAGAAAAACCTTCGCCCTGTCTTTGAGCCGCATCGCGCATTGAATTTCAAATCGTCATCGATCGGTGTTTTTGCTGCTCGTCGCGTGCAGCAATAAAAATTATGTTAAAAATAAACTTATTTTTCGAAAATGTGTACCTTCCATCGTCCACGTCTTTGACTCTGACTCTGACTCTGACTCCGACTTCGACAGACGCTGAAGGGGCGAACACATGCACAACATCGGCTGCAGCAGGACAGCACGGGCCGCACAATGGCATGAGCCGAACAACAGTGAATACCCCTAACGCGTGTGGGTGCGCTGCGTGTGAAGCTGCGCATGCTTCCTGCCTGTGACACGCCGACTCTCTGCCTCTGTCCCGCCTGCGCCGGCTTCTCAGCCTGTCACGCAAAATGTGTGAATGAACAGTGATTGCCAACTGTATGCGTATGAATTCGAACCTATGTAGGTACATCTGCTGATCAGCGGGCATCTATTTGATTGAACTTATCTGATTAATATGCCTGATTCAAGGTTTTTGTCATTCATTATGACTCATTAGACAAACTAAACACTTCAGGTATTCCTAATCGATTTTTGATTCATAAAGTGTGAATCATACGATTAGTGCATATATAAACCAAATCTTAATATAATTATTATATTGATTGCAGTTATCTACATCTAAAGGGTCTATAAAATAGTTCATAAAATAATAATACATAAATGTATTCCACTGAGTAGTTATAAATATATTGCGGTCACACAATATACATTTATAAATTTTATAACATGAAAACATTTGCATCTATATATAGTACATTCGCATATTAAATAAATGATATATGTACATATGAAACATAATCGAGTTATGCCGACTCTTAAGGGCACACAATTTTAAGTATATTTATATATATAATTTACAAAATATTTAAGAACTTGTGTCGCTATTTACTTAAGATAAGTGTTAGCAATAGCTGGATAAAACATATGAAAAATTCTTGAGATGAATACAAAAGCGATCACGTCAGCTGCCTGCTGCATAAATAGCTTATCTGTGGAATCTTTTACTATCTCAAGCAGGTTGCCAACCACAATCTTATGCGGCATGCTTATCAGTAGACTTAAGTAGACGTTCACATTTGGCACGCACTGTATAATGCACAGCCCAAATACGAGCACATAAATGAATACATGAAAGGGCTACATTTAATTTACCAAAATCGCTAAGTCATTCTGAAGTCAGTCCGAAGAGTGAGAGTAGTGAGGGACCCGTTGCCGATGCCGAGGGATTTTATTTCTCTATTTTTGTTATTTTATTGTTGTTGTTGTTGAGGGCAGAAACGCGAGGGCGTTTCGGCGCTAAACATGTGCGCGCCTCATTTCTCTGCTCTCACGCTGCGGACTGCGAGAGACAGAGACACAAAGAGAGAGAGAGAGAGAGAGAAAAACAGGGGCAGAGAAATTCCGGCTGGGAAATAAAAGTAACTGTTCACACGTGACGACGCGCTGCGCCGGCGCTCAAAAGTGCGACCCTCGGCGCTCCGTTGTGTGTATGTGTGCATGTGTGTGTGTGTGTGTGTGTTTGTGTGTTTGTGTGTGTGTGTTTTCCCAACACCTTTCTTACACACTTACACTTCCGCACAAATGGGACTGGGACACAGGATACGGTTCTGGCCAAATAGCGCTGCGGTCTATCTCCTATCTATGTTTAAAAGACTTTGCCAGCCCACATCATTTTGATCCGATCTTTATCTTTATGGCAACCACTCGACTCCGCAATCAAGCGGCAATCAATTAAATGCCAGAGAGATCGACCAGGCAGCAAGACGGAACTGAGCTGAGCTGAGCTGAGCCAGACAGCCGGCAATTTAGCGACTGGCCAACTGCCAGCCAAATGCCAAAGTGTACAAAAGTACAGTAAATATTTGAAATCAATTACATTTCATTGTCTACTGCTACTGCTACTGCTGCTGCTACTGCTGCTGCTGTTTGCAATTTCATAACCACAACAAAGCGACGACCGACAGCGGCAGCTGTCTAATGCAATTGGGAGTCTGTTTATAGGACAAAGACAGAGACGGAGAACGTGAGGCAGTAGGCGCCTTCAATTGAACAAAAAATTAATGCAGCCAAAATTGATGCAACCCAAAAGCAAGCGAAATCGCCACAGATCTTTAGATTATGCAGTGCATTTGCTCGAATGGAAATAATAACTCTTCGAATCTAGTTTTAGGACTTGCATAATTATAAGGCCAACGAATTGATATTACTCAGCTTTTCTCTGGGTTAACTTTTAACTGCGATCTATTCCATTTTATCCAACTCATCCCATTCAGCACTTGTTAATTTGCCAAATTCCACTTATTTTCCGCCTTTGTGGGTGGTATTTATCAAAACTCTGCCTTTATCGAACATAATGAAGTGTGAACGAAATATCTTCTCTTGCCTAAAGAATTATTCATGTGTATTTGTGACTATCTTGCATATCTTATCCATAGCTGACGAAAATATTTATGATGCTATGTGTTAAATAAACAATAGGTCGAGGAAAATTTAAACTAGATCAGAGATAGGCAAAACTTTAGCTAGTGCTCTTTTAGTACAAACGGTTATTTCAACGCACCCTATATGCATTGGGGTACTAACCCAGTTTTGGCACCGGCTGCGACAACGCAATGTGAACGAGGCCAGGCTAATGAGCCAACTGCCTGAATGCCAGTGTATAAGGAAACCTGCGCATCTCAACTAGCTGGCAGCCACCTGCCGATGCAACGATCCTAACGGTTAGGCGGCTGATGATGACTTATTTGGCCAATTGGGTGAAGCGGACGGCCAACCTTGTGCCAAACACTTGACCGTAAATAGCACACGCACAGCTCTAACTGTGTCAGCTACATATACAGCAAAAGAAACAGACACAGACACAGACACAGATACAGATACAGATACAGATACAGATACAGATACAGATACAGATACAGATACAGATACAGATACAGATACAGATACAGATACAGATACAGATACAGATACAGATACAGATACAGATACAGATACAGATACAGATACAGATACAGATACAGATACAGATACAGATACAGATACAGATACAGATACAGATACAGATACAGATACAGATACAGATACAGATACAGATACAGATACAGATACAGATACAGATACAGATACAGATACAGATACAGATACAGATACAGATACAGATACAGATACAGATACAGATACAGATACAGATACAGATACAGATACAGATACAGATACAGATACAGATACAGATACAGATACAGATACAGATACAGATACAGATACAGATACAGATACAGATACAGATACAGATACAGATACAGATACAGATACAGATACAGATACAGATACAGATACAGATACAGATACAGATACAGATACAGATACAGATACAGATACAGATACAGATACAGATACAGATACAGATACAGATACAGATACAGATACAGATACAGATACAGATACAGATACAGATACAGATACAGATACAGATACAGATACAGATACAGATACAGATACAGACACAGATACAGATACAGAGATTCGGAAAAACATTTGCTGTTGCTCTGTTACTGGATATGTGTGTGTATTAATTGCCGCCGACAATGCTTCAGGGCAAACCACATTGGCCAATGGCTTGCCTTATTAACAATAACCACAACTTGTTACAGACAAAACCACGATGACTCTCCCTCTCTCCTCCCCACACCAACCTCACAATCCTGCCCCTGAAGCTGTTTACAGCCTCCGGCTTTGTTTGCGCGCATTTAACACACAATTATATTGTGAAGCAGCAGATGGAGTCAGGTAATTTTCAGCTTTAAGTGCACTTCAGTTGTGACGGTGCGTGGGACGTGGGACGTTGGACGTGGTACGTGAGACGTAGCGGGGCCAGAAGCAGTCACTGTATGCCCTTTGACGCTGAGTATCACTCAACAAATACAGCCCAGAGCTCGGGCAAACATTTGTATGTGTTAATCGTTAGACAAACCCAAAACAGAATTAGCTCCATTGGCTCTCAGATTGTTATACTTCTTGAGCAAATGCTCTTTGCTTCAGTAAAATGTTAGGCACACAACTCGGAATCGAAACGCTAAGAGGGGATACTGAAAATTTCACTAATTTTCCACATTTGTGGGTGGAAAGCTTAAAAATGCTGCCAAAAGCATTAGCTAAAATTAAGCTGCACAGCTTTTTATGACATGCTGTTTACAGTCTATGAAAAAAACCCAATTCCACAACATGAATGCATTCAAAATCCGTACTAATATTATGCTCAGTTGCCGTAATCCAATCCTTTCCCTCTTAGTGTTAACCTTTAGCTTTTACTTGATTAATTCAAATTCCAATGAA